AACGCTCTGAAACAACAACTGAAAAAATGAGTGAATCATCAAAATTGTTAATCATAAAAATATATCTAAAAAAATTATGCCTGGGGATTTTTTTTCATATGTGACGTAAAACTCACAGTACTTTGGTACTCATTAGCCTGGTGAAGCCATTTTTGTGAGAATTCTGACGTGAGGTTTCTCCTGTCCTTCCAGTGATGCAACTGACAAAATTAAGCAACGACACTTAAAGGGACACTGACAGGGTACTTACGCTCGCCGAGGTTTTTAGTTGTACGTGACATATGAGAGCCCAACTACCCAGAAGAGTATTTGCTGCTCAAAATTCCGTTTCTTTCAGCGCGAAAACCGCCGATCGAGAACTAGCCGGCTGGAGTCGCGCTCACTCTCTTTTCCGTGGTCACGGGCTGTTTTCTAAGGTTTCGACGCGACCACCAAATTTAATCAAAGTCCTAAGTCATTGAAGGGACGCAGTCAATACTAAAATTAGAAAAAAAAAATATGAGACCCATTTTTTATGGCTTTCAAAAAACTGCAAACACATTGATCGAAAAAAAAAAGGTTGCACACACAATCGGAAGCATTCTGCGCGTTCACTGGATAATTCTCAACACGACGTCGTTTTACGTTTCGTGGGACTGGCGGGTGGCACCGGACGACGGGCGTGGGATCTCTACTTCAGAACTGTCGTTCACGGTACGGGCGAATTCTGTCTTTGTTCGAAAGAGAACGTGTGGACCGATCATAAGAAAGGATATTCATCCCGTACGACACGCCCGACCAGCAAGCCGATTGCACGAAGACGTCGCCGAGCCGTCGTTCCTTCTCGTAGCTGAAGACATCGCTCGCTCAAACGTCAAGCACGAAGTGCGTACATCGAGCTGAATACGCACGCGTATGGTTTCTTTACTTGGTGCGAATGTGGTCAATGCGTGGTGCTGCCCAACTTCGAGCCGGGAGTGCATGTACTGCAGGGAAATCGGCAGCTAACTTACCGACATACAATCGAGCGGATGCATTACTATGAACCATAAAGTTCCTTCAGTAGCTCAGTGGAAAGACGTCCGTATCACACGCAGCAGGCACGGGTTCAATCCCTAGTGTAGGTGTAACATTTCTTTTTAAATATTTTGTAATGTTTACATTTCGTTTTTTTTTTTTGCAATTATCACTGAAAAAAAAAAGAAAAAAAAAACAATTGTTGTGGACGATACGTCACTGAACTAAATGCTATGGGATTCCATTTTTGACACCTCTGCCGCACAATGCCACTTTTATATGTGAAGCAGCTCTTCACGCAAAATCTTGGGAGTATTCTTTCCGGATCCGATCACGGGAATTCCCCACGGGCACTCACTACTAATTGCCAAGAGTGAAATGTACAAAACAAGTCATCTTGAAGTACAGACCAGCGTGCGGAACAAACATAACTGCAAAAGAACTACACGGCGAACGGATCCCGAACGCATGTCGTCTGCTACCTTTTGCTACACCCAGCAAAAAAAAATCGTACGGTCGGGTTTAGCCACCTGACTTCCGCCCACTCATTCTCTCCTCTCACATCTCCGTGCGGTGCGTGGGTTTCGGTTTCAGTTTAAGGCAGTTGCGTTTTTTGGCTTTATTAAAAATGAGTGACTCTGTAGCAAAATATTAATTGGGTAGTAATTGGAAAACCATAATAAATCGCCTGACAAAAGATGAAAAAAAAAATTGGGAGGGGGGTGGTGTCAGAATCCCTTTCAGACTGATTACGTGTAGAAATGCGAAAGCATTCCTACACGCAGCGCATTCCTACAAGCACCGCGCCCCGTCTTCCTCTCGCACACGGCGCTCGGGCGGTGACATCGCGCTCCCCCACTGCGCAGGCGCGGAACGCCCGCCGGCTCCACGGCTTTAGGGAACGATGCATATGCGTCGCTGGGCTTTTATTTGTGTTTTATTTCTGATACGCGTCCGCTTTGACCTTGAGCAACCCGCCGGTTTCCATGACGAGGCATCAGCGTTGCTGTGCTTTTATTTGTGTTTTATTTTTTTCTGAGGCGCGTCCAATTTCTTGCCAATGGGGATTTATGTGCCGTTTTTCGCTGCCACAGATATCAGATAACGCCGGCTTCGGTTCATGAGACAGTTAATGCTTTCTTATTAATAATTGGGTTCGCTCCGCCTTTAATAATTCTAGCCTACGTAGCTGACACCCGACAAAAAAGACGTCATAAAAAAAGCCCTAAAGGAGATGTGTCATCGGTGACCTGGATAAAACAAGAAGGCTTGATGCGTGATGGGCGAAAAACTGTGGCGTTAATGGGAGTTCCAGCGGTTTGTGTGCTCATAAAAAATGACGAGAAATGATTCGCGCCGAAAATGAACGATACAATTTAAGCACACAAAAACGTAGGATCCCGAAACAAGGTTTCGAAAACGAACGACGCCAACGGATCCAGCCTAAGTGCGAGCGCAACAGCCTGCGATGAAAATGAACGAAAACGGCGAGGATCAAAGAGAACCGCGAGTGACGAGCTTTCATACGCTTGCGCAAGACCTTGACTTTTTCGTAACGCCGCGGTTGTCAGGGGCGTGTTTCTCTGTTTTTTGCGAGTGCCATTTTTTTTTTTTTGGGGGGGGGGGGGGGGGGGGGATTGCGGTGCAGTTACAGTTTTTGTTTTATTCGCTTTATTTGGCTTCATCCAATCTCGCTCTGATGCTTTGTGTTGTTGAGGTCGCTGGAGAGCACGGTACAATCGCATTTTTTTGCTCTCTTTTTCTCCAAAATAGTGCACACACTCGTTTCTGTTTTTATTATCATCTTTATTCCACAATCAGAATGTGTGGTATTGCATCGTAGCGTTCTACATTTATTTTACTTTTTCATGACGAACAAGAGAGACGAATTTATAATAATTTGCTAGAAAGACGCGACAAAATTAAAACAAATAAAGTATTAAATAAAAGAAATCATTAGGCATATATATTCTTGATAAAACGATACCATTAATAATTACATTTACTGTCACCTTTACATTACACGTGTATTTAAATTATGCTTAGTTTTTTTTGTGGGTGAAATTATATTTAAACTTAACGACGCTTTTTTAGTAGACAAACCAATGTGTTTAAGGTGACCATGAAACAGTTCACACTTTAGACTTGAAGGACTGCACACTCAGAAGTCCTGAATTTATACTGCACTGCGATGCTCTCGGAAGACCAAACGCTAGATTTCCTTTATTCAGCTGAAAACAACTAGTGAAGTGATCAGTAACATTCCCCGATAATATATTTATTTCTCTAAAAGACAATAACAAGAACAACAACCAAACTTACGTCATTTTGCGTTGAGATGCCGACCTACATATAGATATCGCGGGCAATTTTCATTGTCTAGGCTTATTTCAGTTGGAGAGGGGAAGCCTCGTATTGTCTTGTTACAGAGTCCAGACCGCTGTGATTCACGGAGTGTAAATACGCACCGCATCGAATTTCACCTATGGTGCAAATTACAGTACACCGAGTGGTTTGTTCATTGGGTCTGATTTGTTCATCGGGTCCAATTATACAGCGGTTTTACTAAACGCAGTTCCACTTCCGGTACGCAGTTTGCGAACATGCTGGTGAACGCTTTCTTCCATTTGCTCTAGATGTTTGAGTTTAACGCATTCTTTACGAACGTGTCCTTGGATAAACTCAAGTGGGCGTATGGCGATTAACGCTGTTGACAACAGAATAGGAAAACTTAGATAGGGGACGTAATTGGGTTGCTTAAACTCCTGCATACTACTTCTTATTTATTTATTCGTTGTTGCGGCTGCCAAACGTGCAGTCTTCTTGAGACCCGGCTCCGCCTCAACTCTAAAAAGGCCAATAATTATAAGAATCGAATACCAGCTGATAGATCTATATGGCGCTGACTACTCCAGCTAGGGCAGTCAATCACCACATAATCAAACTCGACCAAGCTGTAAACCTCCTCTTCTGTGCTTGGAAAGCATAGGGCGAAGCTGCATCAACATGAATTCTGGCAAGATTTTAAACCGGATATATATAATATAAAACCGTTCTATTTTCCCCCCTTTTTCTGTAAAGGGACGTTTTAACCGCGAAAGGCTGCGGGTTACCGCGATCATGACCATTATCTGCAGGCAAGCCGCAGTTTCGATTACAAAACCGATTCTGAAACCGTTTTGCTCTGTAAAGCGTGCTTCTCTACAGAATTTGTGTTTTAGAGGCGTAGCCCACTTTACGAAGGAAATCCTTCTTTTCCGATGATACCCACGGTGGAAAAAATCGGGGATAAGGGTCGCCGACCGGAATATTATGTATATCACGTGGGTGCGGTCCTAACAAAAGCACGAAACTGTGCTAATCTAAGCTTGTAAGCACTGCAAAAGTAAAAAAAAAAAGAAAGTTGCCTGATGGTCACATGGATTAGTCAAAACAAATGGTGACTTCTGTGATCTTCAACTTCTCACCGCGAAAATAGGAAATAATTTTTTTTCGTGTTGCCTTCTTTCAATACTTTTAACAGACCACGAATCAATGTTTTTTTTTAAAACTTTGGCTAGCTGTCGTTCAGAGCTAATACCTAATGTTCGTAAAGCATGGAGCTGGAAACAGCTGTTCTTAAAAGGAGCAATTTTCTTTTTGTAAAAAAACATTTATGGGGTTGACCTTATGTCCTTCTAGCATCCTGTTTTTTTTAAATCCACCCCAATACTTCAGTTTCTTTATTAAACCAACAACGACCTAGTTATCTATTTGCGAGGAAATCTTGCGATTACTCGCGCCTTCAGGAGCTTGAAGACTGCAAACATCAACGATAGCACGAAAGAAAATAAACAAAAAAAAACGCAATAATTTAGTTGTTTTAAAAGCGACGCGTCAGATAAAAGATCCTGTGGCGTTGTGAGAAACCAATCGTGGGTCTCAGAGAAGGTCTCTCCGTCGCCCTTCTGCCAGATTCCCGTTCGACGTTCGCCTGAAGTCCTCCATCCTTTCCCTTCGTACAGTGGCGCACGTGACGGCGTTGGCGGGCGGCGAGGCCCTGCTGCCCTGCGACCTGTCGCCGGCCAACGACTCAGTGGCCCTGGTACTCTGGTACAAGGACGCCCTTCCGACGCCCGTCTACTCCGTGGACGCCCGCCGGGGAGACGTGAGCCAGGCGAGGCACTCGTCCATCGCCTGGGGTCCCCGGGCCTACTTCGCCACCCAGCCGCCGGGGTTGAGGCTTCAGGCGCTCGCCGTGGGCGACTCGGGCGTCTATCGCTGCAGGGTGGACTTCCGCAAGGATCGAACCAGGAACCACGAGACGTCGCTAGTCGTCATCGGTAAGAGGAGACCTCGGACCCGGAGGCGAGACGCGATCAAGCCTCAGTCAGACCGCTCGTACTTCATACAAAAGACAGGTTTTTGGCTGTACACACGATGGCCAAATTATCCACGGAAACACATCCGGTATATTGCCAGCACCTTTGCTTTACACGTATACTTCGAGGATGTCTGAAATGAGTCTTTACATGAGCAGTGAGACATGGCTAGCATGCAAGGAAGTAACATGCCTCAGACAGCGTCTGGATGCTGTTTTTCGTATAATGTATTTAGCAGTGTTATTGAGGCTCCCAGTGGCTCTTAGGGCACGTATAGTGCTGCGAGATGCACTCGGGATCACCGTCAATTTATTTCCTTAATCAGCTCAATCGCTGAGGGGAGGTCGCTGTCGGGAGATTGATGGTAATTTAGTGTCACTCTCATAAGAGGGTATGCCCACTAGGGAGAGATTCTTCTCGACCTTTCTTTCGGCTCGACTAATTAGAGAAAGAGGAGTGATCGATGTTCCGGGTGCATAGCCGTGCAGAATACCCCCAGGGACATCTCAGTGTGTATGTTCGCGTTAGACCTCACTCAGTCGTCCGTTTTTGGCATGAGGCGACCCTTTCGCACAATTTTGTCATCCTGTAGGTCAAGAAAGTGTTTTTCATTGCCTGTGAACACTGGAATTGTGGCCAGTAGGCCTCAAAATTAAATGTAGCCTCGGAACTGGTAAGCCAAATCCAGAAACGTCGGACACAGCTCTTGGGTTACTCAGAAAACCGACAACAGAACAGGCATAATAAAATCAAAGTCAGTGTTCACTGTGTGACTGTAATCGTTAGTCGCTAAACAAAAGTTAAAAAAAAGAAGCTAAATGGTTCAGTAGACTTTTATATAATCTCAAAACAAATGCGATTTTTGAATGTTGTTCTATACTGAGTATATTGACAGGAACTTTTGACAGTATAAATACGCCTAAACGGTACTGGGTTCACATGCACAAAAAATGCGTTATTGTTCATCTTTAGAAGAAACAAAAACTGAAGTCGTTGCGATGTTACTAAAAAAGAAACGAGTCACCAAATGCGGCATTCCCTGTAACGTGTCATGAACCGGTCTGGTAAAAACAAATATCCAGAATATCGCCGGTCCTTCGGTGGACGCGTTGTCCCTCGGCGGTCCCGCTCTGAATACGTCGAGTCCGGAGCCACATTATTAAGGCTCTTCGAGACCGCGGAGCCGAGGACACTAAGCCGCGCCCCACCGCGGAGTGATGATTGCTTTTCTGATCCTCCGGATTGCGGCAACCCTGTGACTCTTGCGGGAGGAAGTGGGAGGGGCTCTAAGCTCGCAAGAATGATGTGCGTGGACGTCGAGGCCCAGCCAAGTCGCGGCTTCCTTAACTGTCGCGGGGGGGTTCGGTCCTGGAGAAGACGCGCCATCCGAAAACGCGCACGTCCATGTACGTAATTTGCTGAGGGGGTTACAGAAAATGACTCGGAGGGGATCAAATGCTAGCCGAGCGGCGGGTGTGGAAATTTGCTTTGACTGAATTAATGCGGTTGTTTTTTGTTTAATTTTTGCTACTGGATTTTTAATGAATGGGGCGAGTACGTGGGTCGACTGCCACGCACGCAGTTAAATACTACGTGATGCATTTTACTGTCCGATCTATTCAGCTGCTGGTCTTGCAGAATTCACAACTTCCCAGCCCGCAGCTACAAAAATAGGTAACGAGGGAAGGTTTACTTGAAAAATTATAAAACTATAATCTCACTTAAAATAGTTGTATTTTAGGCGCGGGCGATGTCAAGGCATGGAAAAGAGAAGTCCTTTAGCTAGCTCCCTCGGTGATTTATGTTGGAGTTTCAGTTATATGGCCGCTCATAGCTGACTCAACTCAAACGCCTTAAGCCACTGAAGTATAAAAGGGCCTTCAGAAAGCTTCACAGTACGACTGGGCGACTCGCTAGGGCACTTAGTCTCTTGGAGGCTAAGCCGGGGAAAATCTAGTTTTCTTACAAAGGATTTCGGGAGAATTAATTGTTAGTTCCTCGCACTACCTTCAACGGCATTCGTAATGTGTGTAGGGCACTAAATGCTAACCCAATATAATTCTGTTTTGCATTCATCACTTCCCGTTTCTCAACTTTTAAGTTGCGCGTCGCGGTTACTTTTTTTTTTTATTTGTAAAAACCGCTAACCTCCAATTACCACTTGGGTCTGAACTCTCGTTTCGAGTTCGAGAAAGTGACCGTCATTGGCTAGGGCACCGAAGTGTAGATCGCCTACGTGCCGGCGACAACCCTCCTAAGAATTACGTTCGTCGAAGTAAGCCAAGGTCCTAACACTTTACCGTAGATCCTCATTCCAAAAAAAAAGTGACCTTTTGGCATGACCTCGAAGAAACTAACACGAAAAAGAAATAAAAATAATGATTGTTTCTGTTTGCCCCTTTACGGGCGGCGGAGACAGAAAGCAGAGTTCTCACTTGTCCTTTGACGTCGTCTTTGAAAATCAAAGAAAAACTAAGAACCTTTCGCGCTTGAAGCGCTTAGCGGAAGTGGCGACAGGAAGAGGGAAACGGGGGAGGGTACGAATGTGAACGTGTGTGAAAGAGAGAGAGAGAGAGAGGAGACGAAAGAAAGAGAGGTTTCGGAACCGCGAAAGCTCTGGTAAATCCGCGCCGGGACTGGCATTTTGAGCAGTTGTACAACAAGGCCGGCCAACCCAACTTAGCGTTCACTTCGAAACCCCGGCCGATAAATTTCCTGCAGGAAGCTGTTTATGGGAGATTGGGGAGAGGGACGAAGCGTTGTGTAGGCCTACTCTGAGGAAGGACGGAGACCGTAGCGCGACGCCCCTCCTTGGTGATTAATGCCGCAGTAATGCGATTCGGAAAGCGGCACATGGATCATTCATCAGCTGCTCGTTTCCGGCGCGGATAAATCACGGCTCGAAAAAGACACGGCTCACCACCAACGAGGTTTTATTTATTTTTTTTTTTTCACTTTCACATTTTGTGTCCCTGGTTGTGCGGACATCAAAGTATGAATGTATGCGGACCCGAACGATATATTAGACGAGTTAGGATCCCTCACGTCGAATTAATGCATCCTTCATAGCCATGGACTGTTTTAATGCGTCGGGTATGGGCAGCCGTTCATCGAGGTTATGAAACCTCCCGGACCGTGACGAAAGTTGCGGTTGAACGTTTTTTCGACGGTGGTCCGGGGTTCAGTGACGCAGCGAGCGACGTTTAAATATATTTCTTTGTGAGGGGTATAAGCAAAAAATTACGAGATATCTTTTTTTTTTTTTTCCGGGAAATTCCAAGTTATATTTTCTGGACCTCTTGGCTTTCGCAAGAAAATTCGCGGGCGTCCGACTCACGCAACTCAAATCATACTATTTGTTTTTTTCCAACTCAGTGGCTCTCACATTGTGAGACGGGGCGCAAAGGAAAGGGGGTAAGGGGTTATTTAGAACAGAACGTTACTTGGCGAGAAATTTTATCGTGATATCGGTATATTTAATATAAAAGACACACTTAAGTTACACTTTATACTTTCGTGTTCTTCTAGCCCGTGGAATAAACTAGGCAAGGTGATAACAAAATATGTCGTTAATAATAATATAAATAAAAACTTCATAAAAAAAGCTACAGTGATTTGCAATGAATGTGTTTTTTTCATAAATATAATTGCTGAAGTAAGGTCCGTGTGGCTTCCACCGTCACATGACTATGCCAGAAAAAAAGTTTCGAGGTTGTAAAAGAGTGCCTGAGTTCCACACAAAGCTGATTTAGCAGAGGACACCCGGCCAGGCGAACTTTTAAGAATAAAATTATATTGTTATGAATGCTGAACCTGTCTCAGTGGTTCATGAATATTGAAAACTGTTAGTACACATCCTATATGACACGAAGTTTATTACATATAGTGCGTAATGATGTTTTTTGTCCTGGAAAAGTGATCCCAAACGTTTGCTGCAACATTCCTCTGTGGCAAAATTGGTAGAATATAATTTGCAATTTGATATTATAATACATTTGTTCGTGGTAATCTCAAGACTCGCTATTGCTGATTCCTTTCTTATAAACGATAAAGAGCGTATTCTTTTCTGTATGTGTGTGGCTGTGTGTGTGCGGATCCTGTATTTAAGGGCCAATCAATTTCAACTCGTGATACATCCGACAAAGAAGGCTAAAGGACTGACCTTCGTCAGAGCCACGTGTTTGTACTGGACGAGCGTACATATGAGCGACTTCTAATATAGTTTTGACGCCCGTAGCTTTTATCCTATATCACAAAAAAAAAGAATAATTGTATTTGAATACATAGACAAGACTTATTTTCATAAGACAATACTCCCTCATTTTTTTTTTTCACTAAGCTGCGTTGTTTTTACGAGTTACGCCAAGTTTAGACATACAACGCAGATTCGTTCCTGCAACGACTCTGCGTTCCAGAAACGACACTCATTTCCTGGATTTACTAAAATATTTTCAAGCACAGCCACTTTTTGTTGCCCAAAGCGGAAAACAGATACATTACGGTGGCGTTTATCACCCAATTTCCCGCACCACACGCCACGCAAACGCCCGCACCCTTTAATAAATCGGCTGGCCAGCGTTGACCCGTGGTGGGTCTACTGTGCACTGAAATACAAACAAACAAACAATTCGCCAATTACGCTAAAAATCAATCTAAAACTAAACATAGCCCCGCTGAAAAGGAGGGCGAGAGGGAAGTTGAGCCCAATCCCGGGGATCGCCTCTTTGTACGCAAACGACCGTAGCGAGGTCAGCCGCGTCGTCAGACACGGCTAATTAAGCCCCTCCCTCCCCTCCCCAGCGCCATCTATGAACCCGGAGGGAAAGCAAGGGCGGAAGTCGTAGTGGTCGTCGCTGATAGCGGTTGGCCCGGAATCGACGGAGTTTGGCCCCCCACGGCAGTCCCCGGGCAGAGATCAAGTGGCGTCCATTCTTTCCCCCGCCTTTCGGTTGCGCGGAACT